TGTCTATAGTAGTTTTGTATTTTGTCCTGATAACATATCACCTGGTGTCTATAGTAGTTTTATATTTTGTTGTGATAAAAGATCACACCTGGTGTCTATAGTAGTTTTGTAGTTTGTCCTGATAAAATATCACACCAGGTGTCTATAGTAGTTTTGTATTTTGTCCTGATAAAATATCACACCTGGTGTCTATAGTAGTTTTATATTTTGCCCTGATAAAATATCACACCTGGTGTCTATAGTAGTTTTGTATTTTGTCCTGATAAAATATCACACCTGGTGTCTATAGTAGTTTTGTATTTTCTGTTAGATTAGTGTATTTTTACTACTAATTATTCACATTTTAATTCACTTGTATTATGATAATTTCTGATAATTTTCAATATTTAATAAACGAATCTATTCACTTTATTCGTAGGGTGAAAAAGAACCAAGTTACATTTAAAGTTAATCCAAATCCAAAAGGCCTGAATGCCTCTACAGTGGCTGAAAAAGTTGGTAAGATTTTTTTATTTTTTTGACGTGTTAGTCACAAGAATTACACAGCAACATTTAGGGAAGTAGTTTAATTTTACATGAAAAAAAAAATCCTTTCTAACTGTTTAAATGTTTTGTGTTTGTAATGGCACATATGAAACCTTGTTATGCACACTGAATTGGACCGTGTACGTACATTTTTTTGTTTCGTCATTAAAACTAGATGAATAAATTAGACGAAGAAAATTCACCTTATTTTATTAGGAAACAATTTGAGCACTCGATATTTTTAAAGCCTTAAGCCTACCTGTTATAGTTGGTGTTTAAAGTAAGCCTGAATATACCTCTACATATGAAATTCAACTTATGTATTAATGTATTGAAATATATATTCTCCTTACATGTAAATGTATTTATTCGTAATTGTTGTTATATGTGTAGAAAGGTTAGCGTACATAAAATTCATAATACATATGTAAAATCATCCATGAAATTTTGTTAGGCTTTTAACGAAATGTAGTCAGTAAACCGTTTTATCGTTAATGCGAATGGGAAAAGAACCGCATATTGAACATGGTACTACTAGACATGATACGGGTTGCCTTTGAAGATACCATTATGAGCTTTCTCAGCCAAATCCCACTGTGTAACCTCCAATGCGATATTCAATTTTTAGCCATTATTATCGTTTATATAGCACTTACTTTCTATCGATAATACCTTTTGTTTCTTTATCAGATTAGGTAGGGAAGATAAAGAGCGAGAGATGGTTTTCATCCTCGTAAGCATGTAATCTTACTTTAACTCTGTCATTTAAAGTCTCGTGGGTTTTGCATCACCAAGCAGGCTTTTCATTTAACTCAAAGTGGTATTAGTGATGCATCAAAACGTTTTAGATCATTAAATTATTAGTTTGTTTGTTGTTTGGTTTTTTGGGGGGGGGTGAGGGGGGGATGACATCGAAAATTCGAATATGGAATACTCTGTCTAATTTATCTAACTAACATGGTACACTCGTAGACTTTGCACGACTTGTGTCTTCGTCATTATCTTAATATACGTTACATCAATTTGGGAAATCTGAAACCAAGTTAGCACACTTCACGAGGGAGCTACTGTTGCACTGATCCGCTACCTAGTTTGGTGTTCTATTCTCAAAGGAATCCTAACTTTTACCAACGATAAAAATATTGTTGTACAACACTACAAAGGAGGCGATATTTATCCCCAGTAGTTATAGGAGATAAGCAGCAACTAAACTGCTTTTAAGCATTATAAAAGTTTCACGCAATTAGATAACTTTTTCTATAGTGCAGCTGAATTTGGAATTATGAAATATAATTAAAAAAAAATGAAGCTTTCAAATACAAAACTAGATTTGTGCAGGGTCCCCCGAAAGTGTTCTGTTTCAACAGTAAATAAAACCAAAATTAAGAGTAGCAAATATTTTTATTTCTTGCTTTTCAAGTTTATATGTGTTGTAGCCTACAGAATTCATAATTCTTCTTGTGATTCATGGTATACGCACCTTTTACTGACGTCACGAAAGTACAAATTTCGGCTGCAAAGCCCTCTTTCGGGGAAATTATCACGTCTACTCTGCTACTCTGTTCTAAACAACGGATAATTGTGGTCGAGCTTCTAAATACATTATATGTCTTTTTTTTTTTACGTTCGTATATAGTTACATGTTACAACGTTATTGTATTGTGTTTTAACATAATTGCGTAAAATTGTGAAGAAGCTCCAAATATATTATACATTATTTTACGTTCATATATAGTTACATGTTACAACGTTATTGTATTGTGTTTTACATAACTATGGGTCATTGTGAAGAAGCTCAAAATACATTATACATTTTTTTACGTTGAACGTTAACGTTTACATGTTTAAATGTTATTGTATATTGTATTTTAACATAATACAACCGATCTTTAAATAACGTGAATTTTCACAGCTTGAAATTTATAAGTTTGATTGATTGTTGTATTTTAACACTTGAGCTACGTCTTTTTGTGTTGACGCTTTTGTAACCTTAAGCATTTAAAACAAAAGAGAAGTACAAGAAAAATATGTATATATATTTCCATTTAGTAACGTTGATCTTGGAACCTCGTAAATGTATTATGATACTTACATGAAGTATCTAACCTACTTACGCTCGTAAAACAATATATATGAGTCAAACTAACACTAATTAGTTATTGAGTTTTCAACATTAAATGACTGTACTTTATAGAATATTGATAAAATCGAGGACAGCTGAGTGTTAAGTTTGTGTACAGCTAAAGGGCTGGGCTACAAGCTTCAATATTAGTAGAGTTTTGGTTTGTCTATTTTAAAGTAAAACTGCAAAATGGGCTATCGGAGTTGTTTCCGCTGCGGGATCGAACTCCGAATTTTAGCACTATAAATCCCGAAAGTTAGCGTTGAGCCACCGAAGGAACGCAACGCTTAGCGTTTGTCAGAAAGGCAACGCTTCTTATTGCTACTATTGTCTCATGCATAATTCTGAATTTTCATTTGAACATTTGTCTGGTCAGCTCTGAGTTGATAATTGGAACTATCAAACGATAGGCTAAGAAACTTGATAATTAATTCATTACGTTAAATTCCAATAATCCTCGTGTTTCCTACTTTTATATACGAGCTAGTAACACCTGATTTTATCAGTACTGTAATTTCCTTTTATAAATTTGTAAACAAAAAAATTATCTTGCATTTTGCTATTCATGCCCCCAGTGGCACAGTCTGCGGAGATAGCCCATTGTGTAGCTTTGTGCATAACTACAAACAAACAATCACGTGCTATCTATGTACGAAACCAAAATGACAAGTAACAATCTCAATGAAATGGGTTTGTTTGCTCGTAAGCACGGAGCTATACAGTGGGCTATCTGTGCTATGCCCATTGCGGGGATCTAACCGTCTCAAAAATTTTATTTAAAATTATCAAAACGTTGCACGTGATGACATATTGTGGAACAAATGCATAGACAATATGTTTGATTCAATCATTCAGTTGTTCTCCAAACAAGATGTGTTTTCTAAGATGTTAAAGATTTCTCCTTGCTTTAACACGCTGTATATTAAACAAACAGACTTCCAGCAATGTATGGAGATTCTCTGTTATTGCGAAGCAGGCATCATAAGAGTAGGGAAGGAACAGGAGATTCTCTGTTATTGCGAAGCAGGCATCATAAGAGTAGGGAAGGAATAGGAGATTCTCTGTTATTGCGAAGCAGGCATCATAAGAGAAGGGAAGGAACAGGAGATTCTCTGTTATTGCGAAGCAGGCATCATAAGAGTAGGGAAGGA